CTTCCCTCTGCGAAGGGCATATATTTTACTTTATGCTTGAGTCAAGGTGATCCTCACCTTTTCACTTTTTCATTTTATCCTTTGGCAAGCTCTTCATGTTTGAAAGATCATGATATATATATCCAATTGGATGTAAGTTAGCATGGGCTATTATTGTTGTCATCACCTAAAGGTGAATACGTTGGGAGGCAACACAATAAGCCCATATCTTTATCAGTGTCTGGCTGAAACTCCATAACCACAAGTATTGCGTGAGTGTTAGCAATTGTAGAAGACTACAAGATAGTTGAGTATGTGAACTTGCTAAAAATCTCTATTGCTGACTCTTTCTGATGTTATGATAAATTGCGATTGCTTCAATGACTGAGATTATAGTTTGTTAGTTCTCGATGATGTTTTTGAACCATACTTGACATTGTGAATTGATTGTTACTTGAGCATAAGAAATCATATGATAAAATCTATATATGTTGTTGTTATAAGACTGATCATGATGCCCTCATGTCCGTATTTTATTTTTATCGACACCTCTACCTCTAAGCATGTGGGCATATTTTTTGATATCGGCTTCCGCTTGAGGACAGGCGAGGTCTAAGCTTGGGGGAGTTGATACGTCCATTTTGCATCATGCTTTTATATCAATATTTATTGCATAATGGCTGTTATTACACTTTATATCTCAATACTTATGGCTATTCTCTCTTATTTTACAAGGTTTACCATGAAGAGGGGGAATGCCGGCAGCTGGAATTTTGGATGGAAAAGGAGCAAATATTGGAAACCTATTCTGCACTGCTCCAAAAATCCTGAAACTCTACGAAACCTACTTTTGGAATTAATAAGAATTATTGAGCGAAAGAAGTACACCAGGGGGCCCACACCCTGTCCAGGAGGGTGCCCCCCCCTACTGGGCGCGCCCCCTGTCTCCTGGGCCCCCTGGTGGCCCTCCGGTGTCCATCTTCTGCTATATGAGGGCTTTTACCCTGGAAAAAATCGTGGGCAAGCTTACGGGATGAAACTCCGCCGCCACGAGGCGAAACCTTGGCGGAACCAATCTAAGGCTCTGGCGGAGCTGTTCTGCCGGGGACACTTCCCTCCAGAAGGGGGAAATCATCACCAACGTCATCACCAACGATCCTCTCATCGGGAAGGGGTCAATCTTCATCAATATCTTCACCAGCACCATCTCCTCTCCAAACCCTAGTTCATCTCTTGTATCCAATCTTGTATCAAAACCACAAATTGGTACCTGTGGGTTGCTAGTAGTGTTGATTACTCCTTGTAGTTGATGCTAATTGGTTTACTTGGTGGAAGATCATATGTTACAGATCCTTAACGCATATTATTACCCCTCTGATTGCGAACATGAATATGCTTTGTGAGTAGTTACGTTTGTTCCTGAGGACATGGGCGAAGTCTTGCTATTAGTAGTCATGTGAATTTGGTATTCGTTCGATATTTTGATGAGATGTATGTTGTCTTTTCCTCTAGTGGTGTTATGTGAACGTCGACTACATGACACTTCACCATTATTTGGGCCTAGAGGAAGGCATAGGGAAGTAATAAGTAGATGATGGGTTGCTAGAGTGACAGAAGTTTAAATCATAGTTTATGCGTTACTTCGTTAGGGGCTGATTTGGATCCATGTGTTTAATGTTGTGGTTAGGTTTACCTTTATACTTCTTTTGTAGTTGCGAACGCTTGCAATAGGTGTTAATCATAAGTGGGATACTTGTCCAAGTAAGGGCAGTACCTAAGCACCGGTCCACCCACATATCAAATTATCAAAGTACCGAACGCGAATCATATGAGCGTGATGAAAACTAGCTTGACGATAATTCCCATGTGTCCTCGGGAGCTCCTTTCTCATTATTAGAAATTGTCCAGGCTTATCCTTTGCTACATAAAGGATTGGGCCACCTTGCTGCACTTTATTTACTTTATTTACTTGTTACTCGTTACTATTTATCTTATCACAAAACTATCTATCACTTACAATTTCAGTGCTTGCAGAGAAAACCTTACTGAAAACCGCTTATCATTTTCTTCTGCTCCTCGTTGGGTTCGACACTCTTACTTATTGAAAGGACTACGATAGATCACCTACACTTGTGGGTCATCACACCCCTCCACTTCTTTTGAGACCGACGATGCCGAGTGAGCCCCCGTTATGATTTGCTTTAAATAAATTGATTGATGCATGATCAGTTTAGTTGAGATTGTGGGATGTATGTCTTAATGATTGTGTGGATTTGTCTTCGTGACTGATGATGAGTGAACATCTATTTAGACATGGTTGACGGACTGTTTGTCTTTTGATGATCCATTTATTTGCAAGCCTTTTCATGAGCTCACCTAATCAGCTGCTATGTATTATAGTTAAACCAACATGCGGCATTAGTGATAATGTGACCATGTGCGTCCATATCTTTTGTCCATCTTTCCACAGAGATGTGTTGTACCAAATGGATGGGTATAAACGGTAACTGGGCACATGTGGAGAGGGCCGTGCCTATCACCACCGCCAGCCCCGTCTTGCACTAGAATGGGTCAAAATAGACGGTGTGGTTGCAGGCCATGGACAGCTGGGCGGCCAACCGCGTCGCCTCTCGTACGATCGCCGGAAAATGAAAATTATTAATGTCTTTTTTTAGAACCGCCCACACTAGGCATTTTATTTAATCATAAGACGGTTTACATCCGATTGCAATAAGGCAACCAAAAAGTCAGGGATAACATCTAGTGACATTACACTCAAGCTACTATTAATACCCTCCTTCGCACATCTATGTGCAACCGCATTAGCATCCCTTCGAGTGTGCACAATATCAAAACCCTGAAAGTTGAGAAGAGACTTGATCTCTCTCAACACATGGCCTCCAATAGATGAAAATTCTTCATTCTTCCACTCATCCTTAAGTACCTAATAATCAGTTTCTATCAGAATGTTTGGCCATCCTTTTTCCCTTGCTAATAGGATTGCATCCCGGACTGCCAGTAATTCTGCACCTCGGGCTAGCAAAATATGTGTACAAAGAATAATGCCATCCATCTTCAAATAAACCTATCTACAATGTCTCTCATTTGTGATTCGATTGCGATGTGTGAGTAATCCTCTCGGGCTAAGGACTAGGCATAGCCTTGTCACACCGAGACACACATCTATGGGGCTTATGGTCCAGGCGTCATTCGCACTCGGGGGCCCTCCCACACGTGCACTCGGCCATGCTAGTTTAATTTGATGGCTTGTGTTCTTCTCATGTTGGTAATAGGTCAAGATATTGTAGGTAATTCATATTCATTAATTGCAAACAATAAGCAATTGCATCTGTGGCTCCTCATGATTGGTGTTAATTCTTGGTACCCTCATGATTGAAATTCCTTCTTTTCTTGGACAAGGCTACACATGGACTCAAGAACACAAATATGTTTTCTCAACCCAATTTCGACAAATTTTTCATACAATTGTAGTAAAAAAATGAATTATATGCAGTAAATGACTGGAAATGCACTAAATGGCTTAAATATAGCAAACAAACCCTGAAAGATGCCAAATTTTTACATTGGCCATGTAATGGTGCATATTTAGTGCAGATTTTTTTCAAGGACAACAGATGAAGCAGCGGCCACATCACCTTTAAACTTGACACATTCCCTCTCAAAATCATGATTGTTTTCCAGATATGGTTCGGTTTGTAGAAGTGTACGTGACAACTTTCACGGAACTTTTTTAAATTTTTACCACAATCTGTAGGTGTCATATGAGGGCACCATGACAAATTGCATGCTTTTTGGACTTTGTTTACGCTTGCAGGGGCATGTGTTGACACCATATTTTGGCACGGCAAAAACTATAATTTAGGTGGCCTAAAATGAAGAACTGCTCAACATGAAAATTATCATTCTGGTCAAGATGAACAATTTTTTTGAGAAAGTATGCTTATATTCAAATTACGAAATAATACAAAGTCTTTAATCTGTGCAAGCACACCCTAACACACGCACAATGAAACAGAATAACAAAGATCACCCTAAAATAACCAATAAAACACAGAGATCTCTCCAGAGCTATGTGTCATCATCCCTGAACCTTGCAAGAAGACCCCTACAACACAATAATCTGCAACTAGACCCAAGCAGGTCATCATCTTCAACTACAGCATAATCGCCGCCGCGGTGCTCCCCCTTTTCTTCACTCCGGCAACGAAAGGACAAGGACACACATGTGCATTAAACACGCCCGCACCAGCCTTCGCCATATGTGGCTTTGGGTATCACTATATGTGCCCCTTCCAGATGGAAGAGAACTAGGATTCGGTTCATGCGCAGTGGCTGAACCAACCACCCAGGCAAAGAAGGACATCCTTCCAACAACAGCACAAAGGAGGATTAATTAACAAAAAAAACTCATATCGATGATGAGGAAGAAAAACCTTCACACAACCACCACTTATCCGAGGACCAACCCAGCCAGTACCAGTCAACCTCCAGACACCATAGCCCACGGCCTCAACGAGATTCGGGGATCCTCCACCCCGCTGGCTCCTACAAGAAGGTAAGAGCCCTGCCCAACCATGAATGGAGCCTAGGGAAACTTATTCAGATGGGACGCCACCGTGATGACCTGAACAATGACTCCCTCAATCCTAACTCTACTGAGAACACACCCGACGCACAAATCCGAGGTTCCCCCTCCCTCCCACCATCGAAGAAGCCGACAAAGGGAGATGAAACTAGTGGCGACACCGACGGCACACAAAGGGACCCGCTAGCCTCCTGTTTGCCTAGCTAACCCTAAGTGATCGAGGAAAAAAGTTATACAACTTTGATTTTTGTATCCTAACTGCCTGGCTAACCACTAATTTCCATCCAAGGTCGTATGCAACCTCGGCAGTCAAAACATTGCAGCACGGTGAATACCCCATTTTGCCGAGCTTTAATATTATTTTTTGTTTTGTCAGTGTCAAAGAGTGCCGAAAAGGTCCTATGTGGCATTCTTTTTAGCATTTGATGTTAGATAATCTGCTAGCATTCGATGCTACCGAGTGGTTAGTTGACTGGCTATGGAATCTATGTATAACAGTGTCGGGCGAGAACTGCAGGCCATCCTTGAGCAAGCACACGTCTTCTTTCTGAGATGCCTTCTTATTCATGCTATTATCCCCACCGTCTCCGTCCCTGACGCAAGTCAGGATCTCCACCACCTCCTTGATGGACGGCCTTAGATCCCTCTCCAGTTGCAAGCACTGGAAGGCCACCTCCGCGACGCGATCGATCGTCCTCTTCGTTTCGGGGTCGGTATTGTAGCCGAGCTCCGGATCAACCAGCTGAACAACTTGATGGTTCTGAATCCTATTGAGAGCCATGTTTGCCAAGTTGATCTCACTGTGGCTCCTGCTCATGTCCACATGGGCCTTGGTGGGAAGAGAGAGGGGCGGCCAGGAAGGGCCGCGCGCCCCCTCTCCCTCTGGTCCGAATTGGACTAGGAGGGGGGGCGGCGCCCCCCTCTTTCCTTCCCCTCCTCTCCCCCTTCCTTCCCCTCCTAGTAGGAGTAGGAAAGGAGGAGTCCTACTCCTACTAGGAGGAGGACTCCTCCTCCTGGCGCGCCCAACAAGGGCCGGCTGGCCTCCCCCCTCCCTCCTTTATATACGGGGGCAGGGGGCACCCCATAGACACACAAGTTGATCTACGGATCGTTCCTTAGCCGTGTGCGGTGCCCCCCTCCACCATATTCCACCTCGGTCATATCGTCGCGGAGTTTAGGCGAAGCCCTGCGCCGGTAGAACATCATCATCGTCACCACGCCGTCGTGCTGACGGAACTCTTCCCCGAAGCTTTGCTGGATCGGAGCCCGGGGATCGTCATCGAGCTGAACGTGTGCTGAACTCGGAGGTGCCGTACGTTCGGTGCTTGGATCGGTCGGATCGTGAAGATGTACGACTACATCAACTGCGTTGTCATAACCCTTCCGCTTACGGTCTACGAGGGTACGTGGACGAACACTCTCCCCTCTCGTTGCTATGCCATCACCATGATCTTGCGTGTGCGTAGGAAATTTTTTGAAATTACTACGTTTCCCAACAGTGGCATCCGAGCCTGGTTTTATGCGTAGATGTCATATGCACGAGTAGAACACAAGTGAGTTGTGGGCGATATAAGTCATACTGCTTACCAGCATGTCATACTTTGGTTCAGCGGTATTGTGAGATGAAGCGGCCCGGACCGACATTACGCGTACGCTTACGCGAGACTGGTTTCACCACTACGAGCACTCGTTTCTTAAAGGTGACCGGCGGGTGTCTGTCTCTCTCACTTTAGCTGAATCGAGTGTAGCTACGCCCGGTCCTTGCGAAGGTTAAAACAGCACCAACTTGGCAAACTATCGTTGTGGTTTTTGATGCGTAGGTAAGAACAGTTCTTGCTAAGCCCGTAGCAGCCACGTAAAATTTGCAACAACAAAGTAGAGGACGTCTAACTTGTTTTTGCAGGGCATGTTGTGATGTGATATGGTTAAGACGTGATGCTATATTTTATTGTATGAGATGATCATGTTTTGTAACCGAAGTTATTGGCAACTGGCAGGAGCCATATGGTTGTCGCTTTATTGTATGAAATGCAAACGCCCTGTAATTGCTTTACTTTATCACTAAGCGGTAGCGATAGTCGTAGAAGCAATAGTTGGCGAGACGACAACGATGCTACGATGAAGATCAAGGTGTCGCGCCGGTGACGATGGTGATCATGACGATGCTTCGGAGATGGATATCACAAGCACAAGATGATGATGGCCATATCATATCACTTATATTGATTGCATGTGATGTTTATCCTTTATGCATCTTATCTTGCTTTGATTGACGGTAGCATTTTAAGATGATGTCTCACTAAAATTATCAAGAAGTGTTCTCCCTGAGTATGCACCGTTGCCAAAGTTCGTCGTGCCCAGACACCACGTGATGATCGGGTGTGATAAGCTCTACGTCCATCTACAACGGGTGGAAGCCAGTTTTGCACACGCAGAATACTCAGGTTAAACTTGACGAGCCTAGCATATGCAGATATGGCCTTGGAACACGGAGACCGAAAGGTCGAGCGTGAATCATATAGTAGATATGATCAACATAGTGATGTTCACCATTGAAAACTACTCCATCTCACGTGATGATCGGTTATGGTTTAGTTGATTTGGATCACGTGATCACTTAGATGAATAGAGAGATGTCTGTCTAAGTGGGAGTTCTTAAGTAATATAATTAATTGAACTTAAATTATCATGAACTTAGTACCTGATAGTATTTTGCTTGTCTATGTTTGTTTGTAGATAGATGGCTCGTGCTGTTGTTCCGTTGAATTTTAATGCGTTCCTTGAGAAAGCAAAGTTGAAAGATGATGGTAGCAATTACACGGACTGGGTCCGTAACCTGAGGATTATCCTCATTGTTGCACAGAAAAGTTATGTCCTGGAAGCACCGCTGGGTGCCAGGCCTGCTGCTGATGCAACTGACGACGTTAAGAACGTCTGGCAGAGCAAAGCTGATGACTACTCTATAGTTCAGTGTGCCATGCTTTACGGCTTAGAACCGGGTCTTCAACGACGTTTTAAACGTCATGGAGCATATGAGATGTTCCAGGAGTTGAAGTTAATATTTCAAGCAAATGCCCGGACTGAGAGATATGAAGTCTCCAATAAGTTCTACAGCTGCAAGATGGAGGAGAATAGTTCTGTCAGTGAACATATACTCAAAATGTCTGGGTATAATAATCACTTGATTCAACTGGGAGTTAATCTTCCGGATGATAGCGTCATTGACAGAATTCTCCAATCACTGCCACCAAGCTACAAGAGCTTTGTGATGAACTATAATATGCAAGGGATGAACAAGACTATTCCCGAGCTCTTCGCAATGCTAAAAGCTGCGGAGGTAGAAATCAAGAAGGAGCATCAAGTGTTGATGGTCAACAAGACCACTAGTTTCAAGAAAAAGGGCAAAGGGAAGAAGAAGGGGAACTTCAAGAAGAACAGCAAGCAAGTTGCTGCTCAAGAGAAGAAACCCAAGTCTGGACCTAAGCCTGAAACTGAGTGTTTCTACTGCAAGCAGACTGGTCACTGGAAGCGGAACTGCCCCAAGTATTTGGCGGATAAGAAGGATGGCAAAGTGAACAAAGGTATATGTGATATACATGTTATTGATGTGTACCTAACTAGAGCTCGTAGTAGCACCTGGGTATTTGATACTGGTTCTGTTGCTAATATTTGCAACTCGAAACAGGAACTACAGAATAAGCGAGCACTGGCCAAGGACGAGGTGACAATGCGCGTGGGAAACGGTTCCAAAGTCGATGTGATCGCGGTCGGCAAGCTACCTCTACATCTACCTTCGGGATTAGTTTTAGACCTGAATAATTGTTATTTGGTGCCAGCGTTGAGCATGAACATTATATCTGGATCTTGTTTGATGCGAGACGGTTATTCATTTAAATCAGAGAATAATGGTTGTTCTATTTATATGAGTAATATCTTTTATGGTCATGCACCCTTGAAGAGTGGTCTATTTTTATTAAATCTCGATAGTAGTGATACACATATTCATAGTGTTGAAACCAAAAGATGCAGAGTTAATAATGATAGTGCAACTTATTTGTGGCACTGCCGTTTGGGTCATATCGGTGTAAAGCGCATGAAGAAACTCCATACTGATGGACTTTTGGAATCACTTGATTATGAATCACTTGGTACTTGCGAACCGTGCCTTATGGGCAAGATGACTAAAACGCCGTTCTCCAGAACTATGGAGCGAGCAACTGATTTGTTGGAAATCATACATACTGATGTTTGTGGCCCAATGAATGTTGAGGCTCGCGGCGGGTATCGTTATTTTCTCACCTTCACAGATGATTTGAGCAGATATGGGAATATCTACTTGATGAAACACAAGTCTGAAACATTTGAAAAGTTCAAAGAATTTCAGAGTGAAGTGGAAAATCATCGTAACAAGAAAATAAAGTTTCTATGATCTGATCGTGGAGGAGAATATTTGAGTTATGAGTTTGGCCTACACTTGAAACAATGTGGAATAGTTTCGCAACTCACGCCACCTGGAGCACCACAACGAAATGGTGTGTCCGAACGTTGTAATCGTACTTTACTGGACATGGTGCGATCTATGATGTCTCTTACTGATTTACCGCTATCATTTTGGGGTTATGCTTTAGAGACGGCCGCATTCACGTTAAATAGGGCACCATCAAAATCCGTTGAAACGACGCCTTATGAACTGTGGTTTGGCAAGAAACCAAAGTTGTCGTTTCTTAAAGTTTGGGGCTGCGATGCTTATGTGAAGAAACTTCAACCAGATAAGCTCGAACCTCAATCAGAGAAATGTTTCTTCATAGGATACCCAAAAGAGACTATTGGATACACCTTCTATCACAAATCCGAAGGCAAGACATTCGTTGCCAAGAATGGATCCTTTCTAGAGAATGAGTTTCTCTCGAAAGAAGTGAGTGGGAGGAAAGTAGAACTTGATGAGATAACTGTATCTACTCCCTTATTGGAAAGTAGTTCATCACGAGAACCAGTTTCTGTGACAACTACACCAATTAGTGAGGAAGCTAATGATAATGATCATGAAACTTCAGATCAAGTTTCTACTGAACCTCATAGGTCTACCAGAGTAAGATCCGTACCAGAGTGGTATGGTAATCCTATTCTGGAAGTCATGTTACTTGACCATGATGAACCTATGAACTATGAGAAAGCGATGATGAGCCCGGATTCCGCAAAATGGCTAGAAGCCATGAAATCTGAGATGGGATCCATGTATGAAAACAAAGTATGGACTTTGGTTGACTTGCCCGATGATCGGCAAGCCATTGAGAATAAATGGATTTTTAAGAAGAAGACTAACGCTGATGGTAATATAACTGTCTATAAAGCTCGACTTGTTGGAAAAGGTTTTCGACAAGTTCAAGGGGTTGACTACGATGAGACTTTCTCACCCGTAGCGATGCTTAAGTCCGTCCGAATCATGTTAGCTATTGCTGCATTTCATGATTATGAAATTTGGCAAATGGACGTCAAGACTGCATTCTTGAATGGATTTCTAGAAGAAGAGTTGTATATGATGCAGCCGGAAGGTTTTGTTGATCCAAAAGGTGCTGACAAAGTGTGCAAGCTCCAGCGTTCCATTTATGGACTGGTGCAAGCATCTCGGAGTTGGAATAAATTCTTTGATAGTGTGATCAAAGCATATGGTTTTATACAGACTTTTGGAGAAGCCTGTATTTACAAGAAAGTGAGTGGGAGCTCTGTAGCATTTCTAATTTTATATGTAGATGACATATTATTAATTGGAAATGATATAGAATTTCTGGATAGCATAAAAGGATACTTGAATAAAAG